AAAAAAAAAAAAAAAACCAGAAAACTTTTTTTGCTTTTTCACTGGCCCTAATCCTCTTCCGTAGATAGATAACAAGAAAGTTAAAAGATAAAACTTAGGATAATTTAACTCTCTGCTATGACAAAAAGAGAAATCTTCTTGTGAAACTTTTTTCTTAATATAGGAACCTGAATTTATACTTTGTGATTTTCTTGGAATGCATTATGGTTAATGTTTTGTGTTTTGTTTTTCCTGCTAAATGAACTTTTCTTAATATTATTGAATATTGGTAATTCATACTAATTTGGGAGAATTTGTATATTTAGCTATTGTGGTTATTTTGTTATTATTTTCATTACTTTTCTGGTTTAAGGATGCATACGTGTCCCTTTTTAAGGATGATATATCATGGTAGTTTCGTTGTTGTGTATCTCACAGAGTGGAGCCAAATGGTTTTTTAATCTCTATCGCCCTTTATTTTTTCTATATATATTTGGCACCCCTTTATCCCATCTACTCACTAAAACATTTTTAAATGCAATAACGTCTCCGTGGATTTCTTGGAGGAATCTTCTGAATAACTTGTCTTTGGATATGTTCAGGGCGCAGCGAGTCAGGCCGGCTTCACTTATTTTTGAACCCTACACTTATTTTAGGTATTTTTATTAGCTTATTTTAAATGAGCCAAACTTTTTAATTGCTTGTTTTATTGCAGTTAATTTCCTTTGTTTTTATCAAAACACTTCTCTCTTGTAAATGTGTTCTTGGATCTCAACGAGAACACCTGTATAAATAGTTTAATAAAAAAACTAGTATTATAAAAGAGAACAAATGTGGAAACAAGTTTAAAAACGAGTCAGGGTTAAAAAAAAAAAAAAAAACCTCCGAAGAGCTGCTGAACTGTTTTTAATCAGTTTCTTCTTGTTCTTTATTAGCTAAAACATTTTAATCCCCATTTGATTTGAAATTGTTTACCTGCTACCATTACCTGCTTAAACTGACATTGTTATTTTGCTCAGATATAACCAGATCCTTTATTTTATCCCCTTCTAAAAGCCGGAACAGCTTTAGTTACTGAGATATTACTGAAGTAATGAGGACTGAAATGAGTTGAAGAGAAGCACAGGTGTGGCTCAGTATATATATATATATATATATATATACGGTATATATATATATATATATATTTTTTTTTTTTTTTTTTTTTTTTCTACGTCTTTAGTAGATCTGCAGCTGAGGGATCATTAGCAGGTGCCTGTTTATGTTTGTGAACTGTTAGTTATAGTTGTATCCTGCTGTGACTGACGGCTCCCCTCTGAGTTTTTCCTGCTGACTCTAGTCTCTACTTTGTCAGAACAAGTCTCAGCCTGACACTCAGTCAACCAATCTGTCTTCATTTAGGACAAAGATCTACATCATTTGCACATTTTGAGTGACTGTGTGATCAGACCCTCCCTGTTTATGCCTTCCAGGGTTCCAGTAAAGAATTATTCATCTTTAAGGCTAATTTAGGATCTCCACTCAGCTAAACATGATTTTTTTTGGACTGCAATAGGAACCCGGAGTACAAAGAAAGAAACCCTCTGTGATCATACAGATATCAGGCAATCTAGAAGATTTACATGCAATAGTTATTTGTTTTTTAAGAGAAAGGGGCATACTATGCTGAAAAAATATCCACAACATATTGAAAGTTTTATAAGGTCTCAGTCATTTTGCCGTCGCATTCACAGCATATCTTTTGAACCCCAAAGCCTCTTTAACTTAATTCTGTAACAGAGCCCTGGAGGACATGTTTAGTGCAGCAAGAGACTCTTTTAGCAAAAAATATACCCTCTATGATTTTCCCAAAATGTCCCAATAGGTATAATGTTAAATATAGGACATCCTACTGCAGCCTTAATGACACATATTGATATATGGATATGCAGTAATAAATTGTGAGAACTAAATTAGGTTGCATATAAATATTATGCATTACATCAGATGCACATGATAATATTGTTGTATTAGTAAAGTCAGCTTGAAGGAACTGCATGAAGTTGTGAGTGAAACTGAAGCCAGAAAGAGGCCACCCTTATTAAGCCTGAGGAAGAACAGACCAAAGTTTACCACAGCGACAGAATCATCGACTAATGGAGTTTTGTTCTCTGGACACACGAGTCTCTAAACTACCCCAAAATAAATGACATAAACTAACCATAAATGATAGAAACCAAATAATTTATTTCAGAAAAAACATCCTAGCCAGTTTAGCATGGGTCCGTTGCTGCTCCTGAAAGCTTTGTTTGACTCAGTAGTGACTGGCTACTTTAGGAATGCCATAACAGATCCCTCCCCCCCTGCAGCTTTTAGACATTAGAAGCATCACTGCTTCTCTCAATCAGCTGTTTATATCAATGTTTTTTTTCTCATTATTCTTCTTAATAGTTTGTTGCTGGTTGTTACATCCACATTTTGTACGTTGTTCAAACTATCCCACTAAGTTGCACATGTTATTAGATAGTATAGTTGGATCTATTCTAGTATAATGGATCTATTCTATAATACTTACCACGTTTCAGAGGGTTTTTGAGGAAAATAATTGAATAATAATAAAAAAATATTAATCCCTAATATGTGGTTGAAAATTCAATTTCCTATCTTCTGTTTACAAATATTAATTTTTGAGTGCTGATTCTGCATATACTTACTTTATATAAGTATTCACTCAGGCCTCGGAGCTGCAAAGCTGCATGTCTGAGGGACAGGAGATGTTTTTTTTATCCTATTATGGAGTGATTGTGGTAGAAAGTAATCGTTCTCATAACAAGCTAGACTCTTTCTCAGGGTTTATTCATAACATTTAATTATTTTCCTTAACTGTCTGTAATTATTTTTGATTAACTGTATGAAGACCTTCACAGTTAAGTTATTGAGAGGATTTTTTTGTCTAGTCAGAACATCAAGCTGCTATTATTTGCTGCTATGATTCGTCTCTTTATAAAGATGAAATAAGATGCCAACTGAGTGAATTACCATCTATCTTCTTTATTGAACTGGATTGCATTGTTGACTTTTTTTCCAGTGACACCTAACAAGATCAAATGTTGTAACTTATAATAAAGGGTTTTCTTCATCCAGTTTTTGTAGCTGATGATGGCTGTAGACAGGAAGGCTCCCCTGTGGAGGATCTGGAGAAGCCTCTGACTGAAGATGCTCTGTTGTCAGATAGTCTAATAATTAGGAAATGATTAAATTGGCTCAAACCATCTGTTAATTACAAACATAGAGCTGGACCCATCCATGTGACAATTACCAAAAACATGACAGCAAATCCATCAAGAACAGGAAGCCCAGATTTTGACGTCACACAGAGACCACAAAAACCTCTCCCAGAGGAAAGAGAGAAACAGAGTGAAGCTTTTAGATTTCAGCCATAAAGGGGTAGCACTTTCTTACTTTTGCACTGCAAAAAATTTTAATCTAAATAAGTGTCATGATTTTATCAAGAGCTCGGACCCACATGCAGAGAAACCAATTCAGAGAGACCAGGGGAAAGGTTTAACAGGTTTTTTGAAGAGATAATGCAGAATCAAGTGTTGCTCTGAACACTGCTCAACCGGAAGTTTTCAAAGAAGTTGTTGACTCTTTGACTCCAGTCTGTGTGTGGAAGTTCCAGTGTTTGTCTGATTTGGTGGAGGGCGGACA